TCAAAAAAAAGAAGCAGCATAACCCAACAGTAGGCTGTACATAAGAAACATGTTTAACTCAAAAAGAAACTCATAAGGCTGGGTATTTAGCTGAGTGGTGCCACCACCTGCCTCACAAGCACAAGGTCCTGAGCTCAATCCTGGTACCAAAAAGAAAAAAGAAATTCATAGACTAAAAATTAAAGAAAGAAAAAAAAACAATATTCCATGCAACAGCAGCCAGAAAACAAGCAGGACTAGCTATCCTATTTTATCCTAAAGTGGAATTAAAGCAAAAACTGATAAGAAGAGTCAAAGAACACTATATATTGGTTAAAGGAAAAATTCAACAGGAAGAGATAACAATTATTAACATATATGCACCAAACAATGTATCCAACAACATAAAAAAGAACTGCTGGACATAAAAAAAAATCAGATAAACATACACATAATCATAGTGGGAGACCTCAATTCAGCCTGTCACAAATAGATCAACTACACAAAAAAAAGTAGGCAGAGGAAAAGAGAAAGAGGACAACAATAACATAAGTCTATGGCTAACGCATTGTGCCCCACCATCAGAACACATCATGGGGACTGAAGGACACAAAGTATTACTACATCAGAATAATTACTCATCATGACTCACCATTTAAAATCCTGAAGGTGAGAGCAATCCACAAATGCCAAATTATTTTGTTATTCCAGAAAAGTTAATGGTAAAATAAATGACCCATTATCTTACTTTATGAAGAAACATGTTGTAATTGGATAAATGCCAAGGAGCCCATCATGTGTTTTATTAAAGAATCCTTTTCGGATCTTAGGCAAAATATGACTAAAGAATGCCACTTTCTGATTATCTGCACAGTCACTACAGGCAGAAGCGGCACCACTGAACTACATCCCTGGACCCCCCCCCTTTTTGTGTGTGTGTGTGTGTGTGCAAGAGATCAAACTCAGGACCTTGTGCTTGCCAGGCAGGAGCAGGGCACAGTCACTATAAATCAAAGCTCTAATAAGTCCTACATTTATACTATACTGTCCTTCAGTGGCAATACTAATACCAGTCCATATTTCTCTACAGACAGAATGGGATTTCACAATATTCTCCTGAAAACAATTTTCCCTTCCCTGAGCTTTTTTGTGTTTTGTTTTGTTTTGTTTTGTTTTATTTTTGTTTTGAAGCAGGGTCTCACTATGTAGTTGAGACTGAACTGGAGCTCACTATATAGCCCAGGCTGGTCTCGAACTCACAGCAATCCTCCTGCCTCAGCCTCCAGAGTGCTGGGATTACAGGCATGTGCCACCATGCCCGGCCTTCCTCTGAATTTAAATCTTCTCCATAACTCATCCCAGCCTGCTCCAGGCTCCCACACTCCTCGATGTGCCTCAGACTTCCTCATCTCATACCTGCCTCCTCCTCTGCCCCATAGCCTCACCATGAGGGTGAAAACCATCTCCCATCTCGTGGTGTAAAGATGGGCAACTGTATAACTATGCTCGCCGAGAAAGATATAGTGCAACTATTGTCACTACTGTAACGCAAACTCACTGGAGCAAGGCGATCTCAGAAAGCCCTGCCAAACCTCCTGCTCCCTCCCTCTTCATTGCCCCTTGCTCATGTAATTATGTTTAGATTGCTGGTTGTTTTCCCAGTGACTATGGTTGTTGTCTCCCCCACCCAGAGAAACATAAAGACACAAAAATGCGAGCAATAAAGCTGACTTTGGTCCTACTCAGTGTGGTCGGTGGTCTGTCCAGAGACCTCCTCAGCAGTCACACCGCAACCACACCATCATCTACTGAAAGATGACCAGCTTGCTTGGTAGGATGCTTTTAGGATGTGCCCCCCCACAAAAAAATGTGCACTACAGGTAAAAATAATGAAAGACTTTTAAGCCCTCAGTCTAAGGAAAGACATAACACACTCATTATGCATTTGAAGACTTATTAATATTAATACGTTTATTGCTCTAATAGACAAATGGAGAATTTGAAAGCAACGAGGTGAACACAAAGCTGCCGTTTAATCTAAACTGAAGCAAAGATAAAATGAGACGTCAAATAAACTTTTGCTTCCTCAAGAAGTTGCTCAGTGCCTCTGGGCCCTGCTCTTGTCGTGGTAAGATGGACGCGGTCCTGCCCACCTCACAGGATTGGACCGCGTGTGCCATCAACGTGAGGATATGCATAATTACCTCACGGACATGCTCAGCCTTCTTAAAACTCACTATAATTACACGGCACTGCAGAGAACAGCCAGGAAAACCGAAGCGTCAGGGCCCGGTGTTTACGGCAAGAGAGATGTGGAGACCACACTTCCTCACTATACAGCGGTGCCCCTCTATCCTCTCTAATCTTGTACTTTTCCAACATTTAGAATTTGGTTATTACAAGATCCCAACAATGAATGTAACTGTACTGTATCCCTAAAATGTACCAATAAACTCAATTAAAGCTGAAAAAAAAAAAGAATTTGGTTATTGATGTACTATTTATACATAAGAAAAATAAGCAAGGACCTCACATGCAAATCCTACCAGTATGATTTTAAGAGTTATGTATGATAGTATTCTCTACAAGCAGGAACTTCTTTTATAGCATTGCCTCAATGGTCTCCCCCACACCCTCACACTTGAGAGTATACAAAGAGCACTCTACCACTGAGCTACATCCTGTTTTGTTTCGCTTGGTTTTTGTGTTTTGTTTTGTTATGGGGTCTTGCCAAGTTGCCCAGGTTGAGCTCAAACTTGTGATCTCCCTGCCTCAGCCTCACAGTGCTGGAATTACAGGCCTGTGTCACCACACCCTGTTTCCAGGATTCCTTAAAACCATGCCCTGCACTCTGTAGAGTTGCTGCCAAATTAAAAGGGATTAAAGCAGTAACTATCTGTAGTGGGTACACAGCGTGGCCATGAATGGAGATCGAGAGTCCACGGTGACCCAAGCACTGTCCTCTTTCTCCTAGGTCAGTCCTGCAGCTGAGTCCTACACAGGGTTCCATGACCACGGTGCAAGTCAGCAGCTATTTCATGCATCTCACAGTATGTATTTTTTTCTTTTTCATTTTTTTTTTTTACATTCTCTGGTTTTGACAGAGAAAAACTAATTATACAGTATATACTTGCATGTAATCAAATATATGTGTTATAGAGAAATATAGTTATCTATCATATTGTAGTGACCAATTTGTATCACACAAAACAGTCAAGTCCCAGCCCGGCACAGTGGAACATGCCTGTAATTCTAGTATTCTGGGAGGCTGAGACAGGAGGATCACAGCTGTGAGTCTTGGGCCAGCGATTAAGCTCAGTGGTTCCGCCACCTGCCTCCCAAGCACAAGGTCCCGAGTTCAATCCAGGTATCAAAAAAAAAGAATGGACAACAGTGAGTCTAGCGCAAACTAAGCAAGACTGTCTCAAAATTTAAAAGAAAAAAAAATTCAGTACTAGGGATTCAACCCAGGTCTTCTGCATTGGGTTCAATCCCTAATACTGCAATTTTTAAAGTTTTACGTTATTTTTTATTTTGAGACAGGGTTTTGTTAAGTTGCTAACCTCCCTGGTCTGGGCTCAAACTTACAGTCCTCCTGACTCAGCCTCCCAGAGAGTTAGGATTACAGACATGCACCACCACACACAGCCACAATTTTTTCAACTTTTAATTGTGGTAAAATACACATACCAAGCCAGGCATGGTGGTGCACACCTGTAATCACAGCACTTGGGAGGCTGGGGCAGGAGGATCGCTGTGAGTTTGAGAGCAGCTTGGGCTACATAGTGAGTTCCAGGTCAGTCTCAACTACATAGTGAGACCCTGTCTCAAAAAAACCAAAACAAAACAAAATAAAATACACATACCATAAAATTTACCATCATAGCCATTTTTATGTATAATATTCAGTAGTGTTAAGTATATTTGTATTCCAAAACTTGTCATCCCGCCAAACTATAACTCTATCCTGTTAAACAGCTGCCTCTTCCTCCCTGCTCCTGCCCCCAGTGACCACAATTTACTTTGTTTTTGATTTTGACTTCTCTAACTATCACATATGGGTAGAATCACACGGCACCTGCCCTCATGTGATTGGCTATTTAACTCAGGATAATGTCGTCAGGATCCATCTATATTGTAACATGTGTCAGAATATCCTTCCTTTAGCAGTGGAGAGTCCATTACTTTTAATAGAGCAAAAGGGAGAAGATAGCCCCAAAGGAAAAAATAACAAATACTAGATGTCTTAATATTTCAAAAACTGAACTAAACTAAGTTCTCCCCTTTAGTCGTTCCTTTCTGAATGCCTAAGAAACAGAATCACATTTTTTTTTCTTGTGAGACAAGGTCTCACGATATAGTTCAGCCTGACCTTAAGCTCACTATGACCTACGATCATCCTGCCTCAGCCTCCTGAGTGCTGGGATTATAGCCATGCGCCACCACACCTGACACACAATTATTTTTTTAATCATATATTTCCATTTGTTTGCAGAGGCTCTTCTTACTGATAACATGTTGGTCTGGAGGAAGGTTATTTGTTTGATTGAATCACATAAAATTGCTGATATCTGGCACTTCTGGCTTAAAAAATGGCAACTTCATCTGTAGCACCTAATAACATCATTTTTCTTTTAAAACTGCTTTCAAACTGTAGTGCTTACCACATACCAATCAGTAGTCTGAGACGTAAAATTTGCTACATATAATAACTATTCATCACTCACTTCTAAAATACTCACTGCATGAAACAGATAAGTAAACATTTATCTGGTCTCTTTTATGCCAAATGCCAAACGCTGTGACCTGCAAACATTGTCACAGAAAGAAGAACCATGAAGCTAAAATATGCTGTAACGATGAACGGCTCCTTAATAGACAGTCAATTAAAAATAAACCGCCTACCTTGTCTAATCATCCATGCTAAATTCTTTCTGCTCAATGAATAAACGACTTCGGAGATGCTCCAAATACCTGAATTTTTTAAATCATTTTAATATATCCCTCAAAAGTATACTCACGTTGACTTGAACTTGAATGGACCAGTCACCGAGTACCGGATGTGCAGACAACTGGAAAGTTTTAGAAATGACTCCAAGGTCACCTTGCTGTGACAACCACTGTTGGATCAAATTGGACTTGGGGTCCTAGAACAAAAACCACACACACTAAGCACGCTAAGGCTGCCCGCGTGCACTGCGGCACCCCACCCCCACCCCGGAACACCCAGGAGTCTCCCCGCCTTTTAACTCTCAGCCCCCCATTTCCTTCTGCAGGAGACACTGCAGTGCTCGCTGCAGAGATCTCGGGCCGTCTATCAGAGGCTGGCTCTGTGTCTCCAGTCGTAAAGTCTTCAGCCAGCACGGCCCTCACCGTAGTGGGGTTAGGCTAGACGCCACGGCGAGTGTCTGACAAGGCCCAGCATGACAGCACCCACACGGGACGGAAGTCAGGATGCACCTTGTCTGTCTTTCACCTCGGCACATGTGTGTCTGAGAGGAAACACCAGTCCCGACTCTCCCGGGTAATGATCTCGCAGCACGCAGCACTCATGGAGGCGGCTTCCAGCGCCTCTCTCACACCCAGTCCACAGTCGCTGCCTCAGTCATCCATGCTCACTTTCATTCCCCACGTTCCCTATCTGTCTCTATGTCTCTCCCTCTCTCTCTCTCCCTCTCTCTCTCTGACACACACACACAGCAACCACATCCTGTTGCGCAACTAATCTCTTCCTCCAATCCTGGCCCCTGCACGGCCAACAGCACAATCTACCTGAAGCCTGAAGTCTTGGCCCAGCTTCTGACATTTTTTTTTTCCTTGTTTTGTACCAGGGATCAAACTCAGGACCTTGCATGGGCAAGGCAGGCAGCGGAACCACTGAGCTAAATCCCCAGCCCTCCTGACTCTTAACAAGGAACAAGTAAGCACTGGTTCTGATCATTAAAACAGACTACTAGGCGATTCTGGCTTTTGTCTGTCTGCTCTGCAATCTGACCCTATCTACTTCTGCAGGCTCTTATTATAAACACAGCAATTCAGCTCACCCGAAAAGTCCACACATCTAGCCCTCTGCAGCTTTGGCACAGAATGCCCCGCCCCACTGGTGATATGGTCAGGTTTTCATCCTCCATCCACACCTCTGACAGGAGAGGCGACCGCTTGGAGTCCCCACACCTGGAATTCACACCACTGAAGTGTATCTAGCACTGGTACAAGCAATAAAATCAGTTTATTTAACGATTTAACAAAAACAGTTTTTCCCCCACCTAGGCTGTGAACTCCTGAGATTAGGAATTACACACTTCCCTTTTTCTCTACTGTTTGACTAGAAGTAATGAGTTGGCCCAGTTATTAGAGGCCAGAAGAGAGCTCTCTCACGGTAGAGAAAGGACGATGCTAAGAATAAAGTGAGGAGGAGGAGTAAGCCAGAAACTAATTGCTGAAAGTAGGACCAAAGGCAAGTCAAGAACAAGCAGGTCACTGTGTCCTGGGCAAAGCCTTCCTGTGCTTGCTGCCCCATCATTCCAGGGACAGCTGTGGAGTAAAAAGGCTCAGGGAAAAATAAATAGCTAATAACTACTGCTGCATAGTAATTAAAGGAATGAAAATGAAAACGATGAATGCTAGTTTTTCTTTGTCAGACCAACAAAGACTTCAAAATAATCGTGACAATAACTCTTGGTGCAATGTAAAGTAGAAGGACGGGAATGCCCACACTTGGCCAGGGTTTGTTGTGGTGTGGGTACATTTCCCACCGGGTGTCAAAGGGGTATAACCTCTGATGACTTCACACCCGGGTGATCTGGACCGGGGAGGATGAAATGATCCCTCGTCTTCCCAAGCTGTCCTGGCCCTGAGCACATGAGTTTGAACAGCCGGACGCGGTGCACCACAGCAGAGCACGCCTTTGCCAGTGACCATCTCCTGACAGACACACAGGACAGCCACTCACAGCATGACCAGCGCCCCTGTCACGGCCAGAGACACTGAACAGTCACCTCTGGGTGGCACAGCACAGCAGCGAGAGGGCATCTGCAGGACCCCCTGAGTACTGGGTTATGCACGAGGCACACGTCCACCTGGCACACAGAACGAGAGACGTCAGGTCACACGAACAAGACAGCCCCTCACCTGGCCAGCTCTGCAGCTCTGAGTTTGCCATGGCTGCTCTGGGCCAGTCAGTCAGGGCACAGTCACAAGGACAGACCCTTCAAGCCAGTACCTGTGCCTGGACAAGGTTGTCCCCAACTCCAGGTACAACAGCTTCTCAAAGGAGAAAGGCTGGGCAGGAGCCAGCCATGCCTCTGCCACCCAGTACTGCCAGGGCACCTGAGTCAGGGCTGGGAGGCCGGAATTAGGGCTGAAGTGGGACATGGTTTATCTATTGCTGAAATCTCTTGAAGCCCTTTTCTGAGTAGTTATGGAAGCAGACAAAATGAAAATACCTAATGACCTCCATTTAAAAAAAAAAAAAAAAAGCCACACTGAAATATCCTTCATACACTGTACTGTCCATTCCTGGTCAGGCAAATTGAGTTCCAAAAGGTTGGCTCGAAGGTACACTTCCCCACATTGGCCTGCAGGTGGCGCTGTGTTGGGCATGTGACCACTCCTGCAACGAAGTCCCACTTCTCAGAAGGAAGTTTTTCCAAAAAAACAATTACATGCAAAAAAAAAAAAAAATGTGAGAAATGTCACAGCTACTCAACCCTGGCCCAAAGGACTATTTTCATGGGGATGACTGAGTGGCACTGACCTTCACATCAGAGGTCCAACCTGGCTCCTTCCAAGGAGGGAGGCAGAGCCCTGAGTCCACACAAGGTACAGAAAAACCTGGTTCTGAGCCCAAACTCCCCTCTCCTGGGCAGGAGGGCCACGTCCTGGCCAAGCCAACAGAGAAAGATTTAGCTCTCTGTGCCCTTCCAGGAAAGTCCAAGATAGTGGGCTAAGCCCAACCATGGGCAGAATCTCCAAATCAAAGGTTTCCAAGGCAGATACCAGAGCAGAGACACAGAACAGAAAGAATACACAAGTGGGCTGCCCAGAAGCTGTAACACGAGCCCCGGTGTAAAGCCTAGAACAGGCAGTTTAGCTGTTACTACCATTTATTTGTCAAAGGTACGAGGACAGATTGACTGAAAAGAGTCAAAGAAGCTCAGTGGTAGAGCATTACCCGGCACACACAAGGCCTTAGGTGCAGCCCCTAGTGCCACACACACACACACACACACCACAGACATTTACCTCTAACTCATTCTTTTACACAAAAAGAAAGTTCTCGGTGCATGTGTACCAATGATGGAGAGTGGTACGCATGGAGTCCCTCTAACCTCGCTCAGATGGCCGTGTGACTTTACCCTCTAAATGCTACCCACTATGTCAGCCTGCCTTAGGAATGTTCCATCACAGAACGAAGCAGAAATGCACCGAGCTGCAAACTCTAAAATAATACTAGTTCAATTCAAGAAATGTGCAGGCAGCAGCATGCCAACCAGGGTAATATTTGCTACAAGATTATCTTGGCTTCAAGTTTTACGTACATGTGTCTGTTTGCCGGGGTTTTGTTGTTGTCTGATAACAACAAAGAAATTAAGAATAGGAGGATGACAAACTTAAAATTCTGAGCTCACCTTCTACATTGCGGTATTTATTGCAACATTTCGAGGAACCAAAGTCCCAGGACTGAGGAGGTCCCAGGCCCAGGACTGTTCAGGCAAGCTATGTGAGCGGCCACTCTCTCTTCATGTGGAAATCAGATGTGCAGCCCTCTCCTTGGGGTTAAATGGAGAAAACCAGGCCCAGCTGGATCTCTGCGCCTCCACCTAGATTCTCTCGAGGACAGTCTGCTGACCATGCTGCCCCCAGGCCCCAGGGGTGTCCCGGCAGCAGAAACCAATGACTGCCTGTCAGAAGCACTTCCTGTTACAACAGTGACAGCCAGCGAGGAGTAAGCCAGGCGCCATTCTAAATGTGACCAACAAAGAAGCTGAGGCTCAGAGACGGTAACTGATGTCCTCAGGTCACACAGCTACAACATCGAGTCACCAGGGATGCTTTTAAACTGTTGAATCAGATCGCATCTGGCCTCCCCTCTGAATTCAGTGAATTCTCATTGCACTGCATGAGAGACCCAAAATCCATATCATGGCCAGAAAGATCCTGTCCAAGCCTGGACCCCAGGCTCCACTCCTGTCTGGTTCCGCTGCTGGCGCTGCCTGGGCCGGGTGCACTCCAGCGTGTTCCCTGCATCATCGAGTGCCCACCTCGGGCCTTGGCATGAATCGTGCCCTCCCTTTGGATTGGTTAATTCTTTTATTTCCTTTAAATCTCTGTTCAAACAGACTTTCCCTCGCAAGTCTATAAAAAATAACAAACACCCCCACCCTGCACACAAGCTCACGCGCGCTCTTCTCCTTGCCACCCACCGGAAATTAAAGTCGATGCCAGCAGGGGATCAATCTGCTGGGTTCCCTGCCCGGTGCCAGCGCCCAGAAGACAGGAGCTCAGTGACTGGCAAATGAGGAAGCTCCAGAGGCCGGGATGGAAGCTGAGGGTCTGTGATGGGGCCTGCGCTCTTCGTGGGCCTCTCCTGCCTCCCTTCCCGGGCAGAGGGCTCCCATGGAGAAGGCGGCCTATCCTAGGTAAGCATCCAGACAGGACAGTGTCTGTGACAGGAGCGGGACTTCTAGAAGAGCTCTGGAAAGACGGCTTGAACTGACTTCACTGCTACTACCTACCACTCACCTTGATGAGGATGTCTAAAGAGGCCTTATAGGGCCTAAAGTCTGAGAGGAGCGTAACAATCCGAAACTTCACTTCCTGCTGTGGCTTGTAGAACGCCTTGTCCGTCTGAATGAAGACAGACATCCTCTTGCTCTCGAATGACAAGCGCGTGCTGTTGTAGAATAAAATCTCATCCTCCGCATACCCAGTGACACGAAGCTCATACATCTCATCTGCGCTGTTCAGAGGTAGCTGGGGAGAAAAACCAAGATCTCACTGTTTAACCCCAAAAAATGTTTCAATTGCCAGGTACAATCCAAAATTTAAATAGATAGTATTATCAAGAGTAAATTATGCTGGGTGTGGTGGCACACGCCCATAATCCCAGCACTCCGGAGGCTGAGGCAGGAGTATCAGTGTGAGTTCTAGACCAGCCTGGGCTACATAGTGAGTTCCAGGTCAGTTTCAACTACATAGTGAGACCCTGCCTCCCAAAAAAAAAAAGTAAACTATATGGGTCAGGAGTTTACTTCAGTGGTTCTGCTGCCTGCCTTGCAAGTGCAAGGACCCGAGTTCAATTCCCAGTACCAAGAAGAAAAAAAAAGAGTAAATTATATGCTGAAAATTTTGCCTTCCTGGACACCAAAGTCAAACAATTTGTTTTCCCTCCCATACATCCCACAGTTGGTTCCCTAATTACACCACGTGGCTCCTGAACCAGGGGCGCATGCCCTGTGCCCTCTCCCGCTCCTCACACATGCCAGAAGCTGCAATATTCATTGTGCCCAAAGTATGCTGTAAGCAGCGCAGGCTGTAAAGAGTTAAATCTCTCAAATGGCTTAAGAAGGGAGTCTGAGGGAGGCTACGTGACTCACAGAAGCATCTCACGAGCACTGCAGTAGCGCCCAGGTGGATATGACCTCCCGCTAACGGCCACAGGTGAGACCCACTAATGGCCTGTGAAACTGCGGGCTCCTATGAGATAACTCGCATGGCTGAGATCAAAGTAACTCACTCGCAAATCCCAGTCCTGCAATTAGTACCTTCAGAACTAGACAGACAATGTTCTAATTTGTCTATCTTGTTTCTAATTTGAAAATGCTTTGTCTCTTCTCTTTAAAGCCTTGCCTGCATTCGTTTCCACAGAAACTGCACGAACTGCACATTTCTACAGGTAGCTCACCTTTAGCCCAACTGATGAACAATAAAAATCAGTGGACCAGACTGATCAGTGTCTTTTGCTGAGAACCCACCATTGCCCGGCCCAGCTCCCACTTGTTCTTCAATCCTGTCTTGAACTTTTCTCCAGTGTTGCATCCCCTACTGGGCAGGAGACTAGAACTTCCGGCAGAGGTCTCCAGCACACACAGATCCCAGCCCGCAGGATGTCAGGCCAGGCCCTCTGTGCACAAGCGCACATTCGGGCTCCTCCCTGTGCACAAGCGCACATTCGGGCTCCTCCCTGTGCACATGCGCACAGTCGGGCTCCTCTGTGCACATGCGCATATTCGGGCTCCTCCCTGTGCACATGCGCACATTCGGGCTCCTCCCTGTGCACATGCGCACATTCGGGCTCCTCCCTGTGCACATGCGCACATTTGGGCTCCTCTGTGCACCAGCGTACATTCGGGTTCCTCGCTGGGCACATGGCACGTGCGCACATTCTGGCTCCCCTCTGCGACGTTCCTCTACTCTTCCAACATCTCGCTGTTCAGGTGTCAGTGTTGGTAAGGATGGAGGTGCTGCTATTTCACCACAATTATTAATAACAGAAATCCTGTCCTCCGTCATTAAAAGACCAGAGCCATTCTTTTTTTTTTTTCTTTTATTGGGGGTGGGGGGGTACTGCAGATCAAACTGGCAGGTGTGGCAGCACTGAGCTACAACTCTGGCCCCTTGAAGCCATTCTTAGATCTCACAGCCATTTGGATGGGTGCTCTGTGAAAACCATTTCATGAACAAGGAAAAGGGCTCAGGGAAGCTATGCAAATTATCCAGGTTCCTAGGCCAGACTCAAACTTTTTTTTTTCCTCTTTCCATTTCATGTATCTAGTTTCCTTTCGTTTGTTTGTTTGTTTATTTGTTTTTGGTTTTTTGAGACAGGGTCTCACGATGTAGTTAAGACTGACCTGGAACTCATTGTGTAGCCCAGGCTGGTCTCAAACTCACAGCGATCCTCCTGCCTCAGCCTCCCAAGTGCTGGGATTACAGGCGTGCGCCACCATGCCTGGCTCTGGTTTACTTTTTAAATTAACTTTATTGGTACAATTTAGATATACATAATGATCACATTCATCATAGGGAATTTGTACCTGTACATGGTATATCTTCATTCTTCCATTTTTCTCTTTCCCTTCCCATCCCTTTGACCTCTCTTCTCATTCCTATTTACAAAAACTTTGTTTCCATTTTTTCTTCTATTCTTTTTTTTCTTTTTCCTGCCTTCCTTTCCCCCTGCCCGCAGTTCCCCTTCCCACTTGAACATATTCTTCCTATTTCACAATATCTATTATATATTTTGGTCCTTATTTACACTTTCAGTTTCTCACACCAGAGAAACAATGTGATATGTAAACGTGTGTCCGATTTATTTCACTTAGGAGTACAGTCTCAAGGTGCACTGATTATCTAGAAACATCTCGTTTATTCAAACTCAACATGTCTATATAATCTAGTAAGAACCTACATGAGGTGATTTAAAAATATGTCCAAAACATCCCTGACCTTCCTCACTTCACAGAGTGAAGCCTAATTCCCCAGACATGGTGACTGCTTCTAAAGCCTACGATGAGGTTATCATAAAGAGAAGTTTCTGGACCTGTACATCCATCGACAGAGGAGTGGATTTAAAAAGTGACCTTTATACACTACGGAGTACTACTCTGTTATAAAGAAAGATAAATTTGAGATATCTGTAGGAAAATAGATGCACCTGGAGACCATAATGTTAAGTGAAATAAATCAGACACACATGCTTAAATAGCACTTGATTTCTCATATAAGAGTATAAGAAAATTCATGTAAGTAAATTAATATGCAAAATGAAAGATAGACAATAGGAAATAGGGAGTCAGATCTCTTGCAAATGGGAAGGGGACCAAGAGATGGAGGTGGGAGGGAGGGAGGGAGGGAAAGGGGGATAAAAAATAATTAAGGTATGCTACATTCATGTACCAGCTCCCCATGAGGAGTGTAATCATTATGTACCGCAAACATGTACTAATACAAATAAATGTTAGAAGAGCAGGGCGTGATGGCACACGCCTGTAATCCCAGGATTTGGGAGGCTGAGGCAGGAGGATTGCTGTGAGTTCGAGACCAGCCTGGCCCACATAGTTCCAGGTCAGTCTCAACTACATAGTGAGACCCTGTCTCAAAACACCAAACATAAATAAATAAATGTTAGAAAAAGAATAGCTTCTGCCAGATGTAGAAATGTAAATTGATATAGAAGCCAGTAAAATGTTAATTTAATGCACTAATGCAACTCATTTCTGAAGCCAAAATTTTTAAATGGATACTTACTGATGGAAGAGTAAGTGTCTTGAAAGAACCTGAAAGGAAAACGGGGGAAAAAAGATTTTTCATAATTTGAATGTGATGTTGCAACAGAAATGTTACAAAACTCTCCCATTATTCTTTTTTGGGGGGAGGTACTAGGGATAGAACTCAGGTCCTTGCACTTGCAAGGCAGGCGGCAGAACCACTGAGCTAAATCCCCAGCCCTTCCCAGTGTTCTTTTAAATGTAGTTTCAATCATGAAACTGTATCAAACCTAAACCACTTTGTTAGTGCCCAGAGTATCCTAGATATTATTACATACCCTGTGCCGAAGAATTAAGGATCCAAATTAAAGAGGTATCAGTGGAGAGCCCAAGAGAGTTGTTCTCTTTACCATTATCATTTTTGTTCCCATCGTTGCTGCTTCTCTTACTGCTTTTCTAAGGCTGCACACATTTGAGGGACTCTTCACAGCATACACAGCGGGAGCCTGAGGTTTGGGGAGCTTGCGTGGTGTATTAGTCAGCTCTGCTGTTGCTCAGACACAATACCTGGCACCCATAGTTTAGAGGAGGAGAGGTTTCACTTGGCTTCTGGTTCAGGGAGTCACTCCACACAGCTCCAAGGTAGGAGCAACAAGGAAGAGGATGTGGCAGAACAGAGCTGCTCTGTTCCTGGTGTCTGGAGACAAGAGCAGGGGAAGAAGACAGGGGAGAGGGACCAGGCAAGGCTACACCTCCAGGACCCACCCAGACACACCCAGTAATGTATGCTACCACTCCTCCAAAGCCAGTCTAGCTGACACGCTGCCCTCACCGCCACGCAGCACCTCTCACTGAAAACAGAGCTTCTTAAACCATACTTAATTTCCAAATATGACAACAGCAAGTTCATAATTCTACCTAACCTAATACAACTACACCAAGCACAACTAGAAAAACAACGACCTCTCTTCAAAGCCTCAGCAGTTCCAGCATTTGTCAAAAGTCTGAGTCAAAGTCTATTCTGAGGCTCAAAGCAAACTCTTAGCTGTGAGCCTCCGCAAAAATGAAAAGCAAGGGCCAGGGATTTGGCTCATTGTTTCCACTGCCTGCCTCACAAGTGCAAGAGCCCAAGTTCGATCCAGGGCACAAAAAAAAAAAAAGAAAAAAAATTGAAAAGCAAGCTACATAATCCCAAGGTTCAATGACACAGGTTAAGCATTCACACTCCAGAAGGGAGGAATAGGGAGACAGAGAAGAACTGGTCCGAAGACCAAAGCCCAGCAGCGCAAACATTCAGTCCTATAGCTCCATGCTGGGCATCCAGAGCACATGGGGATAGAATGCGAGTTCCCAAGGGCTTGGGAGGCCCCACCTCCACAGCTTCACTGAGAGAGCCACACGGCCTCTCTCTCGGGTGGACCCCCCTCATGGCCCGCAGCTTTCCTCCACAGACATCCTACCTTCCTGACGTCTCTGACTTATTGGGGCCTCTGATGCACTTTGGCTCCACTCTCGTAGCTTCACACACGGCCCTCTCGGGGACACACTGCCTGGGCTTCCAGCCTTTCTCTGAAACCTGGGTGGGAACCTCCCTCACCCCGTAACTCTCCCACTGTGCATGCTGGTGAAGTCAGAATAGCACATGACACTAACATCTGCCGTCAGTAGAATGAATAGCCAGCCGGGCCCCCTTAGACCGTGGCTGCAGCAGCCTCTGAGAGCTGCATGGTTGAGCATTGTGAAACGAACTCTTTCTCCCTGTCCCTGTCCAAAGTACTTACTGTTTCTTTACCGGTGCTCATCTCTTCACCACCCACACCTTCTTTGGACCCACATTTACACGTGGGTCCTTCTAGGCCAAAAGTTAAGTTTTTCAAATGTTTCTGCTCTGTTTTTTACCTGATTCTCCTATAAACCTGGCTATGAGCAGTCAACAATATCCAAGCCACAGTCTGAAGGTTGGGTTGCATTGAAATTTCCCCGGCCAGATCAGTCCACTGCCATTTAATCTTAGTCTCCTGGAAAGTCTTGGGACACAGGAAAAAATGTAGACATTTGGCTGGGGGTGGGTTTCCAGGGATCAAACTCAGGACCTTGTGCTTGCAAGGCAGGTGGTGGCAACACTGGGCTAAATCCCCGGCCCCTGTAGACAACTTTTTGACAGAGTGTTACACACATGGCCTGTAGTCCGACTGCCAACGCTGTCCTTGTTCCCAACTAAAGCCTCCTAAGCCTATTCCTTACTGCCAACATTCCTACCGCATGCTGGTCTTCTGAGCTCGGACCAGAATTGCCCATCAGGCTCAGCTTCTAGCATTCTAGGGCCTCTCTGGTCCGTAGCTCCAAATTTTTCCAAGCCAATTCTAAAGACTTCTGAACCACATTGTCAGGCAAGAATCAGCGGTGGCCCCACTTCTCTGCTGCTAGTTTTCTGGATGAGTCAGCCTTGCTGAGACACAATACCTGATACCCACAACTTAAGAAGGAGAGAGTTCACTTGGCTCATGATCTCAGGGGATTTAGTCCATGGTCAGCAGGCTCCAAGGTAGCAACTTGGAAACGGCACATTGGGGCAAGGTGGTTTAGTTCATGGTGGCCAGGACACTTAGCGGGGAAGAGCAGCAGAGAGGAAGGGGTGGGGGACCAGAAAAGAACTCCAAGGCCGTGCCTCCACGACCCACACTGACACACCTAGAAGTGTGTTGCCGCAGCTCCCACATTGATCCCAAAGTCACTCAAATTTTTAACACTCCACTCTAACCACTACAAGGATGGTTTCCGTGTGTGTGTGTGTGTGTGTGTGTGTGTGTGCGTGTGTGTGTGTGTTTGCTTTAATTTGGTTCACTCAGAACTGGGGATTGAACCTCGAGTAATGCACATGCTAAGCATACACACTACCACTAAACTACACCCCCAATAAAGCTTACTTTTGATGTTCTCATACCCTTGTGATAAAGGAAGAAAAGGACAATATTAGTCATGTTGGGAGTGAGCTGGGACGCCTAAGTGACTTGTGGGTACTAGAATGGCACACACTTTTTTCATGTACAGTTTCTAAATGTAGGACTATTTCATTCACGCCAATTTCTCATACCCATTCATTTCAAGGGAAAAGGTGGTTTCAAGGGAAAAAATTTAAAAGTAACAAGCCAGATGTATAATCTATAACCCTATAATCCCAGTACTCTGAAGGCTGAGGCAGAAAGATGGGAAATTGGAGACCCACCTGCACAACTTAGTGATTTAGTGAGATGCTGTCCCAAAAGAAAAAAGAAAAAGGGGCTGGAGATAAAGCTCAGTGAGAGAACACCCCCAGGTTTGATCCCTAGTATTACAATAATAATAATAATAATAAATTTAAAGCATTTATCCCAAGTTCCCTTCAGAGGTGGTGACAGCCCTCCATTTCTCCAGACATTTAAGAACTATTTGTTAAAGATACCCCAATAAATAAAGCAGACATGGTCCCTCCACTCCAGAAAGCCACATACCTCTGTCATGTGGCAACAGAAAGGCCCCCAGAACATGTCAAAGTACAGAACAGAAGCTAAGCAAGCTGCCTCTGAAATCAGACCACGTTGGTTCGTGAATGTGCCCTACCCTTCAACGTGTTACCAAGTCTATGAAACTAGAAATCAATGCCGAAAGTAACCACAAAAATTATGCAAACACCTGGAAATTAAACAACACACTCTTAAATAATCAATGGGTCACAGAAGAAATCAAGGTAGAAATTATAGTTCCTAGATTCAAATGATAATGCCAGTACAATAGACAAGAACTTATGGGAAACAATGAAAGCAGCCCTAAAAGGGAAGTTTATAGCAATGAATGCTCACATCTGAAAAGCAGAGCAAGCCCAAATAAATAATTTAATGATGCACTTCAAGGTCCTAGAAAGACAGCAACAATCCAAGGCCAAAGCTAGTACAAGAAAGGAAACTTTGGGTGGGCATGGTGGCACATGCCTGTAAATCCCAGTACTCAGAAGGCTGAAGCAGGAGGATCGCCACAAGTTTGAGCCTGCCTGGGTGACATAGTGAGTTCAAGGCCAGCCTGAACTACCAGTAAGACATCTGAAAAAAGGAAATTTTGCTTCTCTCTCTCTTTTTTTTTTTTTTTTTTTTTTTTTTATGCAGTGTGTCGTGAGACAGGGTCTCACTATGTAGTGAGACTGACCTGGAACTCACTGTGTAGCCCAGGCTGGTCTCTCGAACTCACAGTGATCCTCCTGCCTCAGCCTCCCAAGTGCTGGGATTACAGGCGTGCGCCACCACGCCAAGCTAAAAAAGGAAATTTTAAAGATCAGAACACAAATTAATGAAATTGAGACAAAAATAATAATAAAGAATCAATGAATTAGGGCTGGAGATTTAGCTCAGTGGCACCAAGCCTTCCTTGCAAATGCAAGGTCCTGAGTTTGATCCCAAATACAGAGGGGAAGAAGAAGAATCAAGGAATTAAAGAGCTGGTTCTTCAAAAGAATAAACAAAATAGACCTTTAGCCAATCTTACCAAAACAATAAAGATCAAAATTAATGTAATTAGAATTGAAAAAAGCAAAATCACAGCAGACGTCACTGAAATCCAGAAGATTATTAGTAACTACTTTGAAAACACGTATCCTGGCCCAGGGATTTAGCTCAGTGGTGCCGTCACCTGCCTTGCAAGTACAAGATCCAGAGTTTGATCCCTGGTACCCCCCCCCAAAAAAAAGAAAACCTGTATCCCAATACATTGGAGACTCCAGAAGAAGATATCAAAATTCTGAATAAACCAATAATAGGAAATTAAATTGAAGTAGTGATTTTTTAAAAACTTACCAGCTACAAAAAATCTTATGAATTCACCACTGATTTTTACAAGAACTTCAGGGAAGATCTAATGCCAATACTCTTCCGACTCCTTAATAAAACTGAAAGGGAAGGACTTTTCTCAAAGTCATTACTAGAAGCTAACATTACCCTCATTCCAAAACCAGACAATGACCCAATTAAAAAAGAAAACTACAAGGAAAATTCCTTAATGAACATAGAGACGAAAATTCTCAACAAGCTGGGGATTTAGCT